GGGGACATACCAAAGCCATGATCTCACGCACAGTCCGCTCGACATGCAGAACTTCGGTGCCTTGGATGCGGACGAGACCGCGTTGGCTTCCCAACTGGGGGAAGAGGACGTAGGAACCATTCATTTCCATCACCTTGCGAACCTTGTCCAGACGATCGAGGAGGATGTTGTCGATCTTGTTGGAGTTGACAATGACATCCTTGACGTAAATCTTGACGCCCATGACCAGCTCGTGGAGTTTTTGCTTGGCGCGGGTGATTTGTTCCTTGGACTCGCCGGTGATGTAGACCTCATCTTCACTGCGACGATTGGCGCCCGGAGGAGTGTATCCGAATATGCGGGGGAAGGGCGGGGGAAAATAGATGGCCGTGTTGGTGGCAGCCTCGATGAACTTGATGTTCTTGCGTGTGCGGCCGCAGACGAGGGTGTGCATGGTCAATTCAAGCTTCATCGCATCGACGTGACGTTTCAACTGAAAGAGTGAGTTTGGGGGAAGCAGGGGGGGGGGGGGTTGAATGTAGATACGTACAATCTGGTCGATCATGATGAGGACTCTAGTTTTGGCATGCTCCGCCGTTTCGATGTCTCCATAGATGGCGACCCGAAAGCGTTGGTCGAGGCCGTTGTCCGAGGCGTAGCCGTAGGAGGAGGCAACCGCGCTATCGGCGTCCCGAAATTTGGGGCTCAGGAGGAAGATGTCGGCCCCGGTATAGGCGGCTAAGGTGTCAAGATGCTCCAAGACGCTGGTCCGGATGCCTTTGGTGGAGCTGTCCATGATGAGATGCATGTCTACATCGACGGTAGCACATCGCTATGACGATCAGACAGGATCCGACTTTTTTTCTTCCTTTTTTTGTCCCATTGAGAGATCGAAAAGAACCATGATGACTTACCAGTAGGATTGGAGTCTCGTTGAGAATTTTGGCACGCATCTTGCGGACGGTCTCGCCGTCACCGGTGATACAGACGGTGGTGACGAGGCCATTGGGACGACGTTGTAGGGAGGCGATGGCTTTGGGCTCGGAGGAGGTGACGGCGGCCTCGATACGAGCGTTGGAAGAGTCGGTGATGTGTCGGCAGAGGCGGCGCAGACCGTCGACGTTGCTGGTATGGACGGGCAGCTGGTGCACGGGGGTACCGTCCGGGGTGCCGTCGGCAAAGGCCCAGCGCTGCAAGGCGTTGGGACTGGCATGCAGGACCTCCTCCACGTCGGGGCCAGCCAGATTCGAAGAGAAGGGGACATTGAACGACAGGTTGACGGTGGGATCGATGCCGGTGGGAGGGGTCATGGGCGGCGCACCATGCGGCCGCCGCAGGGACTGCGAGGCCAGGTCGGTGTGTGGCCGTGACATGCCAAAGGTCGGAGTCATCCGCTCCCAGCCATGACGGGCCTGGCCCGTGAAGTTGGAGATCTTGTGCATGACCAGGGGAGGGCTGAGGAGTATCTCTGGCCCCTTGACCGAGATTAGTCAAAGGGGACACAGAGAGGGAGAGAGGGAGAGCAAGCGAGAGAAGAGAGAGAGAGAGAGAGAGAGAGAGAGAGAGAGAGAGGGGGAGGGAGGGAGAGGCAGACAGAGAAGGAGGGAGAGAGAGGAGAGAGAGGAGAGAGAGAGAGAGAGAGAGAGAGAGAAGAGGGTAGGGAGTATTTGTTGGATCAAGGGGGAGGGAGAAAGAGTCAAATCGTCTCCCAAGGGCGGTCGTTCTTCGACAAGGATTCTTGGGCGAGGGAGGGAGGAGGAGGGGGGAAGGTGGGAGGAGGATTGGAATGAGACTGGGCTGTGGGTTAAGTCAGCCAAGGAGAGACAGACAGAGACAGACAGAGACAGACAGACAGAGACACAGAGAGAGAGAGAGAGACAGAGAGAGAGAGAGAAAGAGAGAGCAACAGGCAGAACAGACCGAAAGGAACCGACCGGATGGACAGTCTGGATGGCCACCGAATGATGATCGCAGCTGTGGTCACTGGTCACTATTGCTAGGCACCGCAAGCAAGCGCAGAGTCGAGCGCTTCCGCTGGGCGACAGCTGGTGGGTCACCAACCAAGAAGCTGGGAAAAGAAGGAAGACAAGACAGACAGTGAAGAGTGAAGAGTGAAGAGTGAAAGTGAAAGTGACTCCGGACAAGACAGCCAGAAGACACGACAGAGGAGAGGAGAGAGAGGGACGAGAGAGAAGGACGATCGAGACCACAGAAGACGGCCGAGCGAGCACAGCCGGGGGTGGAAGCACTGGAAGGTGACGCCGGTGGGCTGGCACACTGGCAGTTACTGCAGTGACTGCAGTGACGATGTCCCGTCTACCAGACCAGAGCTGTGGACTGATTATGATTCGATTGTCTACGTGGAATACGCTCTACACTCATACCAACTACTAATGACTCTCATCCCCGTCGACTCGACGATATTCGCTGTTCAACAATTCCACTGATTTCGCTGCCTGCCGCTAGTCCTTTTTCGGCGCCCCAAGCGAGCGGAGTCACGTGTATTTGTATTATGTAATCTCTCTCATACTGTTTTCTCTCTCTCTCTCTCTCTCTCTCTCTCTCTGTCTTTCTCTGTCTTTCTTTCTCTGTGTTTTCTACCAAGTACATCTACTAATCTCCTAATATACTGTCTATATCTATATCTACTATCTCCTAATATACTATCTATATCTATATCTACAACTCTACAGGCTGCCTGATCGCCACAACGGCTGGGCCGGTAGTAAGATAACGGTGTTTGGCTCCAAGCTAGAATCAGGAACAGTCAATATATAAATATATAAATATTATACTATGTATATATTATAATATAATATATTATACTATATTATGTGCTAAGAGGAATCATCGATTGACAGGTGCAGACTACGTATCCACAGATCGACATGGGAGTACTAAATATGGACTACAGTACAGAAAGATACGAGAACCAATATTTAGAACAAACGATTTTAATGGAGTGTACAAAGTAAGAGACCAGGTACCAATGCTAAATCTAATACCGCCGGATGCGACGCACGTCTCGAGACTCGTCCAACCCTTCCTCGCCAGCCTCCAGATACCGCTCCTCCCGTCCCCCGCGCGCAGAGGTCAGGTAGACGGCTCGTTCAATGTACTCCCGTGGTCGTCGGGGATCTTCGTCCACATACGTGCTCACCTCGCGTCCCCCAGGCCGCACGCTCGCAATGCGCTGCACACCTTCGCGGGATTCCTCGTGTGCGTGTGTGTGTGTCGGTCGGACGCTGGACACGCGTACCACTCGCTCCCGTCCCAGATCATGCGGCTCGTCCACATACGACCGCCGCACGGCATATTCGCCCACCTGCACGCTGCCCGGTCGTATGAGAGTGTCCCGTTCGTCAATGTAGTGATGAGGAGGAGGAGGAGCTTGCTGATGATGCGGTTGCTCACTGCCCGCCGGCCGAGTGTAGTCGACCACCGGCACCCGGCGGTAGGTCGGCGGGGGAGGCGGCATCTCCTGCACGTATCTTCTCTCTCCTCCATATGCATCGTCGATGATGGAAGCAGCCCGTACGCTTGCCGCGCGCATCGGAACATGCTCCTCATACACGTCTCCCTTGGTGAGCCGGGTCGCTACGCCCGGGACCATCGTCTGCATCCGGGGCGCCGCCACCGTTTCATAGTACTGGTTGCCGTGCACGTCCACCACGATGCGACGCTGCGGCGGAGGCGGCGCCATGATCCGACCGGCCGGTTCCTCCTCGTAGTACGTCTCGCGATAGCGCGGAGATACCGGGGCCTCCTCCGCGGGAACAACCAGCCGTCGGGAGTATCCTGCAGCGGCGGGCTCGTCGTAGTAGCGGGCTCGGTCCGGTGCTGCCCCACGATCAACGTAAGCATAAGAGGCAGCTCGCACAACCCGAGGACCAAGCGTCTCCATGTATTCCCGCGGATACTCCTGAACCGGTTGCCGTGCGTGGTGCTGGTGGTGCTGGTGTTGATGCAAACTGGCGACCTTGCGGAGATCTTGCTCCTCGCGCGCCGCTCGTCGGATACTACTGGCCCGAGAAAGGTTGCGAGGGATCCCAGCCTCCATGCCGGCCATCTCTGCGTTCACCATCCGGCCATACGCGTCGACTTCGTACACAGG